TCCATCCACTCGTCCCATCAACAGTGCCGTGTCCAGTTTCTGGAATGCTTCCAAATTTGGAACAGAACAGTGTCGGCAGAATTGATGACCTGCAGTGTATGACATGACTGAAGGATATGGGACTCGCTGAGTACTGGATGGACATGAGAAACAGCACACTGATGAGCTGATCTCTCTGCTCCTATCAGCATGCTTCTTATCAGCACACCGATTGGCTCATTGTGCTGCTTCTTCCTCTCACATTCCAGCCCTGCTGTACAGCGACTGCGAGAGGCTGATACCAGGTCACATTCAGGTACTTGAATAAAATACACCTACTGATGAATGATTACAGAGCTGCACTCATTAGTATCCTTTCTATCTGCCTGGAGTTCAGCTTCAACATACAGACTCAGAATTTATCCTTGGGAGATCCATACCTTGGGAGTTCGGTTTGGTGTGATCAGAATAGATTTCGGAGTTCTTGGCTCCTTTGCCCTCATGTTCCCTTTATCCGTTAAGTGGTCCACGTACTGCCTGGTGAATGGAGGTGGGTCTCTTGCCGGGCCTGGAGGAACATAATCCGCCATAGAACTGGCAGCAGTCAGGCGCTTTACAGGCGATCCGATTCTTATTACGTCTTCACCAGCGCTGACCTTCTCCGATGAACTGTGACGGAGATCATAAGAGGAAACATCGGTCTGATATAATGTGGAGCTTAGAGGATCTACGAACTCCATGCGACAGGTCCTCTTTGGAGTAGATAGAGCTTTTCTGGCAACGGAGGATAGACCACATGTGGCTAGCACAGGGGGCTCCCGCTGTATGGAGGAACATTTCTCTCCGTGCACTTGTGGACGGGCGTTCCAGACCTAAGAACCAACAACATGTCTTCTATTAGACACCATCGCTAAAACAAACTGAAGGCGTGCAATACAACCGCACCAAACAATTTATATCCGATATACCAGAATCATCTCCGAGACCCACTTGGTTTGTGCCATACGGAAGGAGCAAATAGTGCTAGGACAATGCACTAAGCCATACTAGTACAAGATGGCTTCTGATTGGCTGCAATGTTTTACTCTTGATGTAGAAATGATTTTGCATTTGATCTCCGGCCTCCCCCCGTAGTCTTATACAATTGTACAGTCTCCTCTCCTGCACCGAGACTGCTGACTCTGCATGAAGCCGCATCATGTCACATAGAGCCCAGCTAATGTCAAGGCTGGAGAATGTTTTCCTCTCCAGCCGGACTGTCCCTGACCCGCCCCTTTCATTCATTAGATTTGTTTATTTTAATTCATAAAGTCTCAGCATCACGTGTGGGTGTTATCTAGGCCCGTCTTCATGCAGCCTGCCTAGGAAAGTCTACCGTCCAAGGCATTCTGAGATTTCCTTCTCTCTCTCTCTTATGACTTGAGGAACGGATCTCCTCCCTTTCTCTCTCTCAGGAATTGAGGAACGGATCTCCTCCCTCTCTCTTAGGAATTGAGGAACGGATCTCCTCCCTCCCTCTCTCGGGAATTGAGGAACGGATCTCCTCCCTTCCTCTCTCGGGAATTGAGGAACGGATCTCCTCCCTT